GCTGGTGGCGGCGGCGCTGGTGGCGCTGGGGGTGCCGCCGCCGCCGTGCGCGGCCGCCCGGGCGCTGGAGTGGTACACGGCGTGGGTGAGCACGGCCTACGTGGAGCCGCTCAGCAACCGCACGGTGCACGGCAGCACGGAGAGCGGCCGCTACGGGGACAGCTCGCCCAAGGAGAGCGCTCGGGGCCATGTGGGCATTCCGCGCGGCGCCTCGCCCCGCCACATGGAGGGCTGCGCCGCCGACACCGACTACGACGTGCCGCTGCCTCCCGGCGGCCGCGGGTCCCCCGAGGGCGACCCACCGACCTGGATCGCCCTGGTGGCCCGCGGCGGCTGCACTTTCAAGGACAAGGTGACCAACGCGGCGCGGAAGCGGGCGGCCGCCGTGGTCATCTACAACGAGGCCCGATTCGGCAACAGCACCGTCTCCATGTCCCACCTGGGTGAGCTCCCCGCGCTCCCGAGGGGTCGGGGCGTCGCTTTGTCTAACGCCGGTGATGCGGCTCTGCGCGCTGAGGAATGGGGATGTAGGGAGGCAGAAATCCCTGTGAAAATGGTACAGAAAACCGGGGTTCTGTTTTCTTTCTTCCTGTAAGGCACGCTAGGGAAAAAGCCGGGACCGTCTCGTGTCTCCCGAGTTACGGGCCGGGCGTCAGGGAGGAAATGCGGCACCGCCGCATCGGGACCGGCAGCCGTGTGGCGGACTGGGGTGGGAGGCTTGCATTTCCTTTAGGGATACCTTTTTGCCTGGTACCCTGCTACAGCGGTCACAGGTAGGCCGCTTTCTGCAGGCCTTCGGAAACGCACCAGATACCCCGAAGATGCCTCCGGGTGCTTTTGAAGGGACAGCTGTAGCTGTTTGAAGATAGCTTTAGAACAGGCTTTGTTGTAATAGCTTCGTCGTCCTCTCCTGCGCAGGTCTGTTGCGAGTGAGAGGTGTAAGCGTCAGGTAATCCTTAAACGCTCGCAAATGCATCAGGAAAACTGAATCCTGGAGAAGGATGTTGGCTTGTCTCAACATACTACTGCTGCTGTGTAGCCTGCAGAAAGGTTCTGTGATTTTTTGCCGAGATAGGAATCCAGATGTTTTGTCACCACAGTCCCCGCTTGGGCTAT